TGGGGTCAGTTCAAAGTGAGAACAGTAATATTAACAATTGACGTAATAAAGGAAGAGTATACAAACTGACTAGACAAAACAAACGAGAAATAAGTACAGCCAAAATATGACTACGTATTATCATATATTAGCATAGAGGGATTAAGACCATGAAAGTTGGAGGGGTTGAACGAACTTTGTCCGTACACAGAGATCTGGCTTTTCTGTTTCGATAGCCAAAGCTTCAGCAATACAGATGAGTCGGGTACGTAGGGATTTGCGTAAATTACTCTTTGCCTTGTAGATGACTTTAAAGGCGGAGGCTATAGAGATCATTGGGTGATCATTATCGATCAGATGTTCAATGATCGCGCTTCTTATTGCTCCACTTCCACCTTTTCGTAACCATGCAGGATAGTGTTCTTGCACCCTCTTGGACAAAACTCGAGTCGAACGACCGATATACCTAGCTCCACACGAGCAGGTGATAAACACACATAGAGTTGGTCAACAGCGGGATCTTGTCCTTCAGGTTATTGAACAGAAATGGTCGACTAGTAAAGGCTATTCTCAGAGGTGCAGCAGGGAATGTTCTTTTCAGGGACTGTGATATCCTTCGTTTCATGATATCGAAAGCTAAGTCCTCTTTTGAATTCCTAGCTCATGTAAAGTATTTTCTTGGGTACGGTTGATAAGTCACTTTTTTAGGATTTGAATGTTTATTCTTATCTATAAAACGTTGTGGAAATCCATTTTCTATTAGTATTTTCCTCAAGAAGTATAGCTCATCTTCCACAGAATCAGGGCTGCATATGTGTCGAATACGAGTGGCAAGCGACCGGATCAGGTTTCGTTTTCGACCAATGGGTACCCAGCTGTAGAAATTTGTCAGTTGACCATTCCATAACAGCTCACGATAAATCGATCTTTTCAGAGTTCCATCGGTCCTCCTTGATAAGTTCACATCGAGGAAATGAATGCTAGACTCGTTCTTCTAAGTCTCACAAGGTAGAAAAACAATCCTTATTGTCCCGATGTCTAGACGCTAACTAAAAATGAACAATACGGCTTTAACAACAGGTCTACACTTTGTTCTATTTTCAGCTGTCCTCTTCAACTGGCTAGTCACACGATTGCCGATAATCGCTCATCTCCTCCTCCTCCAAAAAACATTATCTCTTTTCTGTGTCACCTTCTCACTGACGACAAACTTGTCGCTTCCTATTCCAATTCCACTGCAGCGATGCCCTGCATTGAGTGTGATTTCGTTCGACGGACTCCTTAACACTTGCCCAATCCATCTGCATTTTCTTACACATATTTTTTGAGCGACCGGCTCTCGCCCGTTGGTTTCTTCCCAGTGAGAGATTCTCGGTGCCAATTTTTTCTGTCTGGTTGGCCGGCAATTTGATCTTCACTATGGAGCCAGCCGGTGAAGGTGGCAGGTGTTGTTAAGACTCTGCATTAACCAACTGGAAATCCCTTTTTTGTGACACACTGGTCAAGTTTCTCATCCCTGGGGAGGGACTGACTGACTGACTTCACATTTGTGTTGAACAGAATCCGAATATTGTTGTTTATGCTTTCTGAGTTATTACATAAGATTTCCCAGGTGGCTTCAGGTTAATGAAGGGTATCTTGTCTTTTCGATTCCGTCTGACCAGCTTTGACAATTTCATCCGTGCCGTGTACCTGTGGTTGAAGCCCTGCTTCCTGACCAACCAGATATGTGAAGGAAGTAACTAGCCTCTGTCAAATCTCTCCCTTTGATGGTTACTGGTGCTGGTTGTTGTTCCTGTTGCTGTTGGTTGGTTATCTTCATCTCCTCCATCTTCTCCATGTTCACCTGGAGTCCTGTCTTCGCTGTTTCTTCAGCCATTTTGTTGCTTTTCGTCTGTAAGCATAAATGCATGACTTTACATACTAATGATTGACTTAGACGAGTAGTTGCATGACACTTACACTAACTAGTAACACTTACTAGACAGGTCGACGTGATCTAATCACCAGATGACCATCTCGCTTATTTGCAGCAGAGTTCAGCCCAACTCAGCGAGTCGAATCAGTTCAGTCTCGTTCTCAAAAAATGTCCTGGCATGATCGAATCAGATGTTTGAACTAACTCGATTCTTTGAGTTTAGTCAAATAATAATAATAGCTTTATTCCAAACAGTATTTGTGGTACAAGTATGGGATTTTCAGCGTGGCACAGTGGTTAGAACTCTCGCCGACCATGCACATGGTCCGGGGTTCGATCCCCCGCCGGCGCACACCCAATATCTATGGTCGGCCTGCGAAATTTGGGTTACTGATATCCACGCTGAAAATGCCATACTTGTACTGAAAATACGGTGTGGCATCAAGCTGTAATCAAAAATTTTAAAAAAATAAAATTAAATTAGATTTTATAAGATTTTAAAAATAAAAAGCAACCACAACAAAAAGAAAAAAAGATAAATAAAAGAAATAAAGAAGAACAGCATTGCATTCACATAATTAAACAATGCACCACAGGATATGAAATATAAAATTAGTGTGTAATAGAATATGTGAGCAACAATATATCAGTAACAAAGAAAGGAGAACAAAAGCTAATGGGAACTATTTGTTAGAGTGCCGCAGTAAGTTGATCGTGTCATACCTAACGGATTTCTCATCACATAACAGCTGTGCCAGATAAGGTATTGTGGAGTTTTTATACTTGGTAGTCCTGGCATATAGCTTCCTATAGTTGCTTCTAGTTCTACCAGATGAAATGCAAGGAGAGAGCTGCGTATAGAGAGGGTGTTCGGGGTCTGACAATATAGAATTCGCTAGTTCCTTACATGACATTATGTGTCTATCCACAATGGTGTTAACCAGTTGGTTTAACGATATCCTACTTGCCGTACTAATGGCTTTTAGTGCCCCACGCAGCAAAGCAAAATCTTTCTTAAGTAGTCCAGGAAAGATTAATGGGGAGCAGTAAAGAGGGATGGTTCGAATACAAGAATTGACAAACTGAGAAAGCAAAGACTGCTTTATACCAGACTGTCTTAGCTTCCTAACGTAGAACGTTAAGCGAAACATCTTTCTAGTAACTAGCACGATGTGAGAGGACCAGGAAAGACCGGAGGAAATACTCAGTCCAAGGTACTTGACATTAGATGTAGTTTCAACCTCTATGCCGTCAATGATAGTGGGACCATGTGAGCTAGCTAGTTGTTGTAGGTCACGTTTTCGTCTGAAAGGGAAATTTACTACCTGACATTTAGACGGATTCAGCTTAAGACCGTTTGAAGAGGACCACTGACTAATTTCCGAGAGAAAGTTATTTAATTTGGAACAGTCTGACTGAGAGTTGACAGGCATGGAAACAGAGAGGTCATCAGCATGCTTAACAAAAGTTGCTACATCAGAACGGGGCAAGTCATGTAAGAAAAAAGAAAACAGAAAAGGAGAAAGAACAGCACCTTGAAGAACACCAGCTAAAGTAAGTGAGGTAGTGGAGGACTTTCCATTGTAGACGGTGTACTGCTTCCTATCAGAAAAATAGGAATGCAACCACTTATTCGTCCAGCTCTCACTCTGTGTTGCAGCAAGCTTACTTAGCGAGAGAGACCTAGGTACAGAGTCAAATGCAGATGTGTAATCAAGAAAGGCACACCGGACATCGCGTATACCAATGACGAGCTGGGATTCAGACGAGCAAAATGGTGATCCGGTGTATGGTACACTTTGACATGGCTGGCTGTTTAGCGGTATGCGACAACTACTCATCTCAGTCATTCACTAGTATATCGTTTAACTAACAACAGTGTGTTTTAGATGTCAAAATACTGCATAGCAACATAATGATGATATAAACACTAGTTAACTAATCAGCTACTGATCTAGTAACGTGAACCTTTGCACATTTTGAGGGCGGGGGTGCGAACTTAAAGTTACTGAATAGGAATGTGATGCACCTACGATGAACCAATAGGTATGTTTGAAGGGGAATCTCAATGATAATGAATGAAGTGGCTAATGCATCTGCATCATTGTTAGTGATTCTGAGTCACATTACAGTCTCCAAGTATTAATTCTCCATAACCTGAAGATTTGAGGCATGCAGTTAGTGAGTTCCTATTATGGCTCAGACCAACAGTCAGTAACATCATGGATTCAAGATATTCATCAATTACAGTTGTATCAACCTTGTAACTGTCAGGCGTGATCTAATGGTGGGGATCCCTGGCTTTTGCCTAGATGGCCCCAACTCGACTCCTGGCGATAGGATGCTTTAGGAGTCGTCAATTTAGTGTCAGATTACTCACCAACCACGCTACTCATTGTCCGGAGCATGGTTCCCTGTCGATGAACTCCTAACATCGCTCACCCAGCAATGATACTAATAAAGAGGGAAGGCTGGGTGTGAGTCTAACAACCTCATCCCCCCCAAAAAAAATACACCACTACCACCACCACTGAAACCTAAAAGCTCAAGTGTAAGGCCCTATGTTCCCCTCGAAAGGCAAAATAATAAAAATTTCAAAAAAATCACCTATGACAGCTGTGATTGTTCACTTCAAGGTCACTGACTTGGTTATTTCTTGGCTGATCAATAATAATCATAAAATTTAAAAGTATATCGTCTGCCTATTCTATGTATTGCATGTATTTCTAACAACGACTTAACTAATTTGAAGTAACTATTACTAGACACATATATACCTACCGCGGATTATACTGAAATACATATATCTTATGCAACAGCCATCTTCCTGTGTGTGTTTTTTTCGTATTTTATTTTGCAATAAAATTTAATTTAAATTATTGATATATATATATGCAAAAAAACAATGTCTAAATTGTTTATGTTCAAATTATTTTTCATCTTCATTAATGACAACAATAATGATGATGATAAGAATAACTTAAATGGCGCGCAAATTCAAATTCAAGGTCAAAAGGTGTGATTGAACATTGAATATTGAACGAGTACAATTAACAGATTATATATATATATAGACATATAGAGAATGTGAATGTGAACTAACCTCTTCTGTAGGTAAAATATTATTACGTAACCATGTTGAACTTTCACCGAGAAATAGTAATCCATGCCGACGACTGTTTGTCGTCGTTGTGCTGTTATCATCAGAGAGTAATTCCATATAAGGTTGCAATCGTTTAGATGACTTTTTACTTGTGTAGGCACGTCGTAATTTAGGTTTATTCATTGTATTTGAGGATTCAAATATACTACTGATATTATTATCAGTAGTAGTAGTGTTAGTAGTATGAGTGATATCAGTAGCAGTAGTAGTAGTAGCAAGTGTTTTAATCTTATCAGCCTCTTGATGACAATTGGTCGATGATGGCGTTGTTGGCGATTTTGTCCCCACTCCTGTGGATGATGATGATGCTGGTAGTGGCGGTGGCGGCGGCGTTGTCTTCCTTATCGACTTGTCAACGACAACACCAACATCAGAACAATCTGGTAGGTTAGATAAAAAACTGTAATCTTCTATTGGATAGGCTTTTGCCTTCATAACAAACACATGTCCAACTGTTTGAGGCGTTATTATGTCATTCTTCAGTTCATTTAGCTTTAATGAGCGTCTGAAATCAAAATTTTAAAATTTTTTTAAGTGTGTTGATAAGATATATATTAAATTATTCTTTATAAGTTTTTTTTTAATTTTATTTTTGTAATAATTTAGAATTTAAAAATTAACAGGTAGATAATAATAATAATATCAATCGATATGGTAGAGTGTATTACTCCTTACCGCCCCCCTCGCCTCTCGATCGCTCCAGTCACCCCTTCAATCTATACAAACATACGTGGATAGAGAGACAGACATGTTATAAGTGATATGTCATGCAGTAAAGTGATAGACTGCAGTTCTGTTGATGGGTTGTCATTGAAGGTGAAATAAAAACAGGCCAGCATCTCAAGGTGTAAAAAAGAATGTGTACAGTATCATTGAAGTACAACGGTGAGAATAACATGAGACTGACCAACTATAGTGTGGATAGATACGATCATGATCAGATGGCGTGATCTTAGTGTGATCTAGTGTGTGTTATCTGTGCTGTATGTGTAGTGCATGGGTGGGTCGGTTGGTTAAGGGGGGGGAAGCGAGCAGGTGAAGGGGGTTCACAGTCATGCTGAGAACAAGTGTCAGCAGCAAGTGTATTCCATACATGTATATATATGTCAAATCACATGTAAATCTAATACCCTGAAATATTGCTTTTATTGTTTTATTAGTAGCACAAACACACACACAAACACACACGTACTCATACGCATGCACAAATGGACGGACAGACACACTTTGGAGCAATATGAGAGTTTAAATGACTGTAATTATGTGCTGTTGTAGGTTAACAAAGTCCTGTGTTCGAACCCCGTTGGTAGGTGTGTGTGCTGATGAAGAGTCGGTCCTAAGCATTAGGACGAAACAGCCAGATGTCTAGTACTCCCTGGCTAGTTTTCCAATGGTTCTTTAACTGATGCAACCAGTCAAATCAAATCCCTGAAAATCAATATTTTTAGGAATCAAAAGAACAATTACGGACGGCGCCAATGAGGATGTCAAAGCCAGCTAGAAGTGGTTCGGCAAATCAACACAGATCTTCATTGATTTGACATCAGTCTGAAGATCTAACTGCAAACAGTATTGGCGTGTATCCCGTTTAATGACTCATAGAAATATACAAAAAATGTTAGAGATGAACATAAGACTTTTTTAACTATATTGATAGTGTGGATGTTCTACGCTTCTAAGTCATCTAACAAACATGTGACAAAAATTGCTGCACATTTTTTAAAAGTCGAAATTTATGACTGTGACGCTTCTGAGTCTGTTCAATATTTTAAGACTGTGGTAGAAAGCCAGAGAGGGAGAGAGGGGGGAAACTTTTGACGGAGAAGTACCTAGGTCTCACAAGGTAGAAAAACAGTCCTTATTGTCGTAATGTGTAGACGCTAATTAAAAATGAAGAATGCTCTGTATATTTGTTGAGTCGATGGCACAGCGGTTAGGACTCTCGACGACCATGCACATGGTCCGGGGTTCGATCCCCTGCCGACGCACACCTGATATCTATGGTCGGCCTGCAGAATTTGGGCTACCGATATCACATGCTGAAAATGCCATACCTGTACCAAAAAGTACTGTGTGGAATCAAGCTATAATCAAAATTTAAAAATATATAAAATTTAAGAAAATATACGAAATTCTAAGCTATTTGAGCTCGCGATTGACCTCCTATAGGACTATATGGGATAATTTGATTGGACAGTAGGTAGTGAGTAACTGGTGTAATGTTTCTAGTCCTTGGTGTTTAGTTTAAACTGAATTCTATCGTCAGTTAGGTTTGCAATGTGGCCACCATGCCTCTAGATGGTTTGCCACAATTGTTTTTGAAGGAAAGCAACAATGATCACAATAATCTCTAATCATTTCTGCTTTCCTCGATTATGTCCGATAGCAGACTTTCGTAGAAACCTCTGTGTGTTTCCCTTCTCCTCCTTCTCCTCGTACAACCCCATACTCCCACGCCTGTCAGCATAGGGTATCATCACATCATAACAATACATTAGAGTATATAAATGTGCGTCGGTGGTTCAGCAGTAAGAGGCTCATCCCGGCCGGAACATGCCTTCACCTCCCTTAGCTGGTTGTAAGCCGGACAAAGAAAGAAGGTAGGGCATAAGGCTGGAAACCCTACCCAGCAAGAATGAATGTGGTGAGAGCTGGCTGCTAGCCAAAGTTAGTAAACAGTAATTGACGTCAATGTTTATGTCCCCAATATTGGTGGTGAGAAAATGAGAACAAAGGCTTTGCGTAGGCGGATACAACAGTTAGCATATGGATGATCTGACACAGCCACAAAGAGATGCAAGGTTAGCTTTCTGTGAGAAACAACCAATCAAAAGACTGTATTTTCTACTAACAATAATCTACAATAATGTACATTAAAATCTATAAATATGTGTTGATTTTCCTTAATAAACGATCTGTTGCCTGGCTCTTGTCTTCTGTTGTTACAGGAACACTACTGCTCCTGAAACTTCAGAGCTGAAACTTGAAGTCCGAGACGCTCAGTAGTGAAATAAAAAGAGTTACATGTACATATAAACTAACCTTGTTTGGTTATAATCATCACTTTTATCAATAATTATATCATAATCAGACGATGTTTTATCCATATAACACTGGGTAATTTCATTATTCTGATAATTTGCTCCACTCTCATCATCATGACTAAATTTAGTATCAACTGTTAGCTGGTCATTGATGATAAATGACTCATCCAGATAAATTGGATTCGATACAAGATTTGAGCTGATGACGTCATTGTCGCCATCATCCTCATTATTATTATTATTACTATTACTATTCTTGCCATTACTAGTGTCAATTATTCGAGTAAAGTAATCGGGCAGCTTTTTATTTGAACCCGTATCTCTACTTATACTACTGTTAATGTTTTTGTGAGTAGTATCTGCACTGAAGCCAGATGTATTAGAAGTAATACAATTATGACTATTGGAGGTGATGATATTATCGCCGGTATTGACATGTAACGATTGTGTAGTAGACGTTGGTGTTGCTGCTGTTGTTGCTGACTGGGTGGTGGTTGTGGTGGTAATGATAGGCAACATCTGATTGGCTAAACTTTTATTCAACGCATCAATTGTTGGTTGTAATTTTTCACTTGGTAATGAGATTTGATGTTTTAGTTGACGTTTTTTCTCTTGTGAATTGACCACTTCATGGGGAAATATGAAGTCTCCAATGTCTTGATGATATTTACTACTGGCGCTATTGGTAAGGTTGAATGGATTTGATATTGTGGTGTGTATATAATGGGGTGGAGTAGAAGCTTTCCTTTGTTGTAATCGATTATTACTGAGATTAGTAGTATTAGTATTAGTATTGGTATTAGTAGCAGTCATAGTGCTGAGAGTAGTATTAGTGGTAAGAGTAGTTGTAGTAATGGTGATCTCATTAGGTTGTGTATGAGCCTGATTAATTGAAGGTTTGATTGATTGATTCGTATTCCATGAACGCCATCCTGCATGAGATCCATTATTAGTCTGTACAGGGTTTGATGATTTTGCTTGCAGAAGAATATCCCAGAATTCGCTTTCAGCTCCTTCATATACCTAAAAAAAGAAAATGAATAGAAGAAACTTTTATCAAAGATTTCGAGGAGATTATTTTTCATTGCATTGTGTTACCGGTGGAAGGTAGGGTCTTAGACTATAAGCTTTGGATTTACCGTAGCGCTTGTGATGCTTTCTTGCGGAATAAATTTGCTTATCTCACGCTTGACCTTCCTTCTTTATCAAGTCTACAACGGGCTAGGTGAGGTTTACGATTTCATCGTCCGACAATCGAAGCCGGAACACGTGTGTGATTGGTGAGCATTCCACTCCCTCACCCCACGCTGTTTTTGACAGGAACGAAGGGAGTATATGATCAGAATCATAGGTAAACATAGAGAAAACAGAGGTGATGAATATTCCTGGGCAACACCACCAACAGCAACAACAACAACAGAAAACAATCAGCATGAATGGAAGGAACCTGAAAGAAACAACCTCTTTTACCACCAACCTGGGAAGCAGCGTTTCAACTACAGGCGGACGGAACTGATGCGGATATGAAAGCAAGAATCGGAAAAGCAAGACAAGCTTTCAATGCTCTCAAGTCTGCGTGTAGGTCAACAGCACTCCTCACCATGAAAAATAAGATCCGGATTTTCAACTCCAATGTGAGGTCAGTCAGTGCTACTCTATACGGATCAGAGACTTGCACTGCGCGTCATAAAGAGCATCTCAAACAAACTACAAACCTTCATTAACAGTTGTCTTCGCTCAATACCACTCAAGATCAGATGGCCAGAAAAGATCAGCAACAGAGATCTCCGGCAATGAGCGAACCAACCAGGAACCGATTGTGAAACAGATAGGCAGGAAGAAATGGAGATTGGAATGGAGATGGATTGGCCATACTCTGAGGAAACAATCCATCAAGTGAGTGACATCACTAGACAAGCCATTGCTCGAGTGGAACCCGAAAGAGAAGCGACGAGTTGGTCGTCATTGCGAGGGTGACTTGGAGGAGGTCATGTGAAGAGGAGATGAAAGCGTGTGGGCAGACTTGGAGCCAGGTGAAGACTCTAGCAGAGAACCGAACGCAATGGAGATGCACGGCTGAAGCCCTATGTTCCTCTAAGAATTAAAGGAAACAATAATAATAGTAATAATATGATCAGAATCATGATTGATTAAACACATTTTTATGATGACGTTATCAATATGGTGTATGTTTGTCCATGGATAAGCTCATCTGCTTTCATTATAAGCTGGTTACAACATAAGGTGAATCGATAGCTGCTTACTCGACATGTAGGTTAGTCTTGCATATTACAATCACCCAACCAATTTCACAGCCTGGAACAAATGTTTCTGTAGGTCATTTAATGTCAGAAATGTCGGTTGGATGGAGCGATTAGACTAAACGCAGACACCATCATAGTATGTTTGCAGAGGGGAGAGGAAGGGAAGGTACTGTTGGCAAACAGGGATGCAACAGGAGCATTGAGGCGTCTCCCTTTTTAAAATCAGTAGGCCAACAGTGCTGCCTCTCCTCTCTGACAAGAGGAGGAGGAGGAGGGAGGAAGGGCTTGGAAATGTTGATCTCGATTTCGACTTATCACTCAACAGGCTCTATGAGGCGGTAGGATCTTGAAACGGATACTACTCTAAAAAGTCATTTCACAAACAGGTCGTGTATGACTTACTGAACGAGTTGCAACAACCAACTTTTCAAAGCCGTACACCAGTTCAAGTTACCAAACAGGACGTAGGACACTCAGAGATTCAAAAGGAACTATAATGAGCATCTTTGCCATTGAGAACAGTTACGAGTCATATGGTTAACAGTCTGTAGTCATTTAGTTCTAAGCACCCAAAGGACCTTTAAGCAGATTCACTTCACTTTCTTACATGGCTACCTCAAACCAGCAGTCGAAAAATTCATGGAGTGATGCCACGTTTTAGTGCGACAACCATAACGGAATAATCGTTTAGGAAATCCCTCCCTCTGAACGATCTAATTATAATATTGGTACTTATTTGAATGCTTCAACTAACTTTGTTATTGTTTACAGGATTTCATCATGAGCTGACGTCGGTTAAAGAACCATTAGAAAGCCTAGGAGTACTGGACAGCTGTTTCGTCCTAGTTTGGGAACAACTCTCCATCAGTACTCACCCAACCGGGGTTACGCTATGTCGTGAATTGGCAGAAGTTAGAATTCATGGGCCATTGGATCGGGTCCCAGTGGCTTAATGGTCTCCAAGATCGCCTTGTAACCAGAAGGCCCTGGGTTCGAACACCGGTGGCTGCGTACTGATGGAGAGCTATTCTCAAAGTAGGATGAAACAGCTGTCCAGTACTCCCAGGCTTTCTAATGTTTCTCTAACCAATGTCAGCTCATGATGAAATCCTGTAACCGATCAAATTACTACAAACTAACACATGAATATCTTATATGAATAATTTTTACACTGTTCTACTGTGTACTACTTACGGCGGTCTATGTAAGTAGTATATGGTGTACAATATATCTTTGTGTTTTTCACAATACTATGCATGCTGATCAGATTTTCAATCACATTCCTTGTTTTTTAAATTGTTTACATGACAAATGTTGTTCAAAACATGAATCCGATGATAAAAGTGGACATCAAAACTGTTAATGATGCGAATGAGATTTCAATTGGCACGTGAAGTGTTTTACAATAACACTGATTATAATTTTAGCTGTTGATGTATAAGAATTTGATTGATTTCTAGTTGAGTGTCAGTTAAGGAACTATTGAAAAATGAGGAGTACTGCATAACTATTTCGTTATGGTCTTGGATTTTTCGACATTACAGAGACATTACCCCCCTTCCTGATGTTTAAATTCGAAATACTCGGGTTACCCAGTGAACCCGTCAACTATTCAGCCTCCACCTATGGATTCTAACTATTATTATTATTATATTATTGTTTCCTCTAGTTACCAGAGAAACATAGGGCTTCAGCGACACATCTCCATTGGGTTTGGTTCTCCACCAACATTTCCACCTGGCTTCACTTCTCCAAACATGCTCTCATCTCCTCTTCACACCACCTTCTCCTGCTCCATGTCACTCTCTCACTCACTACCAACTCGCCGCTTCCCATTCGGGTTCCACTCGAGCGATGGCATGGCGTGTGGTGTTACTTGATGGTTTGTTTTCCCAGCGTATGGCCAGTCCACCTCCATTTCTTCCTGCAGATTTGTTGCACAAGTGGTTCCTTCTGGGTTGGTTCGCTCATTGCCAGATTCCTCCCTACTGCTGATCATTTCTGGCTGGCTATCTGATCTTGAGTAGTACTGAGCGAAGAAAGCTATCGATGAAGGTGTGTATTTTGCTTGAATTGGCCTTCGTGACGTGGCACGGTGCCAAATCTCTGATTCGTATAGTAGCACTGACTTCACATTGGCGTTGAAAATTCGGATCTTATTTTTCATTCTGAGAAGTGCTGTTGAGAGTAAAGAAAGCTTGCCTTGCTTTCCCGATCCTCGCTGCTTTGATATCCTTTGCAATTCTGTCCGTCTGTATATGAAATGATGCTTCCCAGGTAGGAAGGTAGGTAGGTAAAGGAGGTTGCTTCTTTAAGATTTCTCCCACTCACCTGAAGGAAGTCCTATCTTCTTCGGATGCTTCTTCTGCCAACTTGTTGCTTTTCACTTGCATATCTTCCAGTTTGTGGGAAACCAGAGATATATCGTCGGTGAAGTCCAGATACTCCAATTTTTTTGTATGGGTTCATTTTATGCCTGTTTTCTCTCTGCCCGCCGCTATCCGTCACATTATCCAGTCTACTGCCAGAAATCAGGAAAATTATTGGAGATAGTAGGAAACCAGCTTGTCTTACTCCCGTCTTCACTTCGAAGTATTCCGTAAGTTTCTCGTTGTGGATTACTTGGCATGCAGCATTATCGTCCAGCTGTTGGATGAAAGCTTTGCAATTAAATCAACCGCCTCCTCAGAGAATAAAACTAAATTGAAATCATCCACATGAGCTACAAATCTTCTCCATTTTACACACATCTCCCTGACGAGTCCCAGCAGGTACGAAACCCAGGTCTAGAGCTTTCTGCCGACTGCCTCCAACCATCTAAACACACTTCAGTAAAAGTTAACCATAGCATTCATAATTATAATAATGCTAATCACACAGCAGAGTGCTGTTGAAGAGTCCCTTGCCAGGACGAAATCACTAGCAAGTGTTATCTGAATCACTAATTTGTATCGATTAGTGATGAGAGAAAACAATCAGCACTAAGATGATAAAGGTATCGTGTTTATGCTGTTGTACAGTATCAATTTAAGGTCAAACATTAAATAAATCAATAAATGTGATAAATGAGGTGACATGTGCTCCAAATGTATGAAAAACATGTTTATACTAGTTACAACAAGTTGTCCTTAAGCAAACTCAATTAGAAAATAGAAAGAAACATTTTTTAACTCTTAAGCTTATATCATCTACTTTTGTTTGATTTTTTGAACTCTGAAGAAGTCTGAGTAGCTGTGGTGTTCCTTTTTAAAGGGTAGGATTGCTAGCCTGATGCCCAACCTTTCATTATTTCCAAGTGTACTAACGGCTTAGGTGGATTTAGCCACAGCAGGTTTACCGGGAGGAAACGAACCGGACCATGTAAGCGGTTAGTGAGTAATTTACCACTGAACCAACCACGCACTTGAAACAATCAAATCGGTAGATGTATGGTGTTATATATACTACTGACTGACTGAGTGATATAAGTAGTTTAGAACGACACACACCAACCAGTAGTGCTTGCTGGCCAGATTATCAAAGGGATGGATTTTTCGCTGGTTTGGGGTCTAGCTTTCTAGTGACTTACCATTTTCTACTCAGATTAGACAAGCAAATCAGTTGAAGCTCTCCTAATAAGTAGATGGTAAGAAAATATGAGTTAGTCTGTCTATCTGCCTGTCTGTTTTCGGCATAGAAGTTTGCACCGATGTGCAGCAGTTCAAGTCGCCACACTCCCTCATTGTAGCACACAAAGCAAGAGAAGAAAGTAGAAGAAAT